TGGTGGCGTCCCAGTGTCAGCACCCGGCTGTCCTGGGCAGCCCCTGTCCTCCCAGGGAGGCTGCCAGGAATATTCAAGAGCTACATTCATTTATTTGAAAGACAGAGTGGAGAGAAAGAGAGAGAGAGAGAATGAATCTTCCATCTGCTGGTTCACTCCCCAAATGGCTGCAACAGCCAGGGCTGGGCTAGGCTGAAACCAGGAGTCTGGAACTCCATCTGGGTCTCCCGTATGGGTGGCGGAGGCCCAAGTACTTGGGCCATTAGCCGCTGTTTTCCCAGGCTCCTTAGCTGGGAACTGGACTGGAGGCAGCGCAGCTGGGACTCGATGCTCCAGTATGGGGCGGCGGTGTCAGTGTCGCAAACAACAGCTTAGCTGGAGGCGGCACAACACCAGCGGCAAGCAAAGGTCACTTCTAAAGCAGATGAACATTTAGACAGGCCCCAACCACTCTGGAAGAGGGGAGAGAGGTCTCCTGCCCCCCACCCCCAACATCCAGTCTATGACCTAGGTCTTTTGAGGACAGAAATGCTTTGTCACTGGCCAGCAAGAAGCAGGGGGACGTGATTCAGACGAGATCGGGTGCGTTCAGGGTGGTATGGCCGTAGACTGGGGGTGGATGTGATTCAAATCCACCTCTTGGATCCATCGGGGTCTGGGGAGTTTTATGAAACTTGGGTACAAGGGAGTCGTATGCGGAGACACTGGTAAAGTGAGTTCTGATTGGATGGGCCAGGAATCTGGCCAGCAGCACATAAGATGGGGCAGCTCTCCCAAGAAAGCAGGAACTTAAAAACAAACAAACAACCAAACAAAAAAAAAAACCAAAAAAAAAAACAGGCGCAGAGTCACCACACAGACCCCCGAGAGTCAGGTGAAAGCTGCTGGAGGCAAGCAGCCAGCAGACTCATTTATTTCAGTTGGTACAACAGCTTATATAGCCAAGGCAACCAATCCAGTCAAGGGGCAGTTTATGCCCTAACCAATCACAGCCTGTTGCCAGGCAGTTTCCAAAGCCATCCAATCACAGCCTGTTGCCAGTTAGGCTCTGTTGCCAGGCAGTTTCTGAAACCATCCAATCACAGCCTGTTGTCAGTCAGGCTCTGTTGTCATGTGGTTTCCAAAGCCATCCAATCACAGCCTGTTGCCAGGCAGTTTCTGTTGTCAGCAGCCATCTTGGCATGAACTTTTCACCTCAGTGGCCATCTTGGCATGACCTTTTCACCTCCTCATTCCACCACATAAGAGTAGATCAGTTGTTAAAGTTAAAAGATGGGGGACTTCCAAGAAAGGACTGGGGATATAGAACAAACGTGCTTTGAGCTTGGAGCGTCAGGGGAAACCCAGTAATGGGGCAGTCTGATGTCACAGCCAGCAGCGCAGCCAGCATCACCCAGAGCACCAGCGGGAGGCTGGCCCAGGGCAGGGCGAGTTGTGTTCCTGGAGAGGCCTAGGCCGGTCTTTGCACCTGCTCAGGAGGGGGAGGGGGCATCCTGCTGGGTGTCATCCCTCTGAACTCCAGGCAGTGACTGATGTGCAGGGAGTGAACTCAGCCGCTCTGGTCTCATTTCCTCTGGGTCAATCACAAGCTTCAGTCATGCTCCCCGGCCAGCAGATGGACCACAGATCCCTGGGCCCTCTGTGTAGGTGTCTGGCCAGCTCCATTCTGCGTACAGTGAGGCCATCATCTGGAAACAAGCCTTGTGAAGCCACCAGTTTAAGACAGATCTGCAGCTCTGGGTTGGCAGAGGGAACTCTGCCCCACCATCAGGCGGCCACAGAGATCAGTCTAGCTCAGGTCTTTACTGGACTGCGGGGTCAGCACCCCAGGATAAGCTCCTGAAACCCGATTTCTGTGACCCCTGGCATTTAGCTTATAGATAAAAGCAAACTAATGCTGTGCTGACGACTCTGGGATGCATTGTGATGTCCCTGGTGACGTCCCCCTTAGTTGTTCGAGAATTCCAGTCCCTGCCCAGCTTGGGAGGGCGATGACCCTCAACAAGGCAGATTGAACGGGAGGGGGTGTGCAGCCCTGTGAGGCGGTGTCTCCTCGGCGGGCTGCAGCTGTCCTTGATCGTGGTCATCGGGCCCACCTCAGTCATGGAACCCAGAGCATCACTCTGCCGGAGACTTAACCGCCCCAGACGGTGCCTCAGCAACAGGTTCCAGAAGGAAGGCATCTAGTCCTTGAATGGTTCTGGTTCTCCCCACCATGTCTCCATTCCAGACCCCGGTTCATCAAAAGTGGGTACCTGGTCTCTGCCTTTACCCCCTCCTAAGGCCGGCCAAGCCTGTCTCCACATCACAAATAGGTGGCCTTCTACCCAGGGCCACGTTGCTCCTCTGCCTACAACTGTCCATGGTAGTCCACGGGCTGCAGGAGCAAGTACTAATGCCTGGCGAGTCAACAAAGCTGGCACCAGCCGGCTCCCGGCCACCGGCCTGGCTTCACCTCTTGCCACTCGTGTATTGTGCTGCCAGTCCCAGCAGTCTGCTCACCTGCAGCCCTTGAACACATTACCTGGGTGTACACTTACATGGTGCTGTGCTTGGTTGGCTTGACCAACTTTTTCTTCCTTATCCCCCCTCCCCGCCCCAAGCCTGGAAGACTGCTCATCCCTCAATGCCTAGCTCAAGTACCGCTTTCTCTGATACCTCTGGGTACAGTTAGCTCTCCCATGCTCCCTTGCCTGTGCCTCACACACAAGCCTCTCACTGCGTATCAGGCCCGGCTGGGAGTGTCTTCACCACGTCCCTCCTCTTACCTGATGGAGCCACAGTTCTTGGAGCACAGAAGTTCTTGAGTTTAGGGAAATCTGGGATTGAAGAACCTTAACAATTTTTACAAGTTTTTTTTTTTTTTTTTAAGATTTATTTATATATTTAAAAGAGAGAGAGAGAGAGAGAGGGAGGGAGTAAGGGATAAAGAAAAAGACAGGGATTTTATCCACTGGCTTGTTCTCCAAATGGCTGCAACAGCCAGGGTTGAGCCAGGTCAAAGCCAGGAGCCAGGAGTTCCATCAGTTCTCCCATGTGGGTGGCAGGGGCCCAAGCACTTGGACCATCTTCTGTTTCTTTCCTTGGTGCATTAGCAGGGAGCTGGATCAGAAGTGGAACAGCCAGGACTTGAACTGGTGCTCTGATAGGGGATGGCAGTGTTGCAAGTGGCAGCTTAACCTGCTGCGCCACAGTGCCAGTCCCAAGTGTTCATAGTAAAAGGGATTTATCAGCTAATTACAGCTACACAGGGAACTCCCTGTGGACCTTGGCTCTCAAAGGCTGTAGTCGACGAGGGGACAGGGGACAGGGGACCAGGAGTGACAATGCACAAGGCCATCCGGGAGGTGGTGGAGAGCCCTTCCTCCAATGGGCAGGGGAGGCCTTGAGCGGTAGGGGCAGAGCTGGGAACTCTGGTGCCACTCTCTCCCTTTCAGTCCTCAGGGGTCACTGCCACTGGCAGGAGGGCGCCTGAGGACTAAGCCAGCCCCAGGACCCCAGGGCTGCTCTGGGAGGGGCGGGGACTGGCCCGGGCACCGAGGCGCAGGCTGTCGGCTGTACTGGAGTGCACACTTTCAGGAGTCGGTCTGTTCTAATGTCAGGGTGCGGCCCCCTTGCCAAGCTCCCACCTTTCAGAGCCCCTTTCTGCACTGAGAACAGAAAGCCAGATGTGTCCCACCACCCTGCAGACTCCACAGGAGAGTGGACGCCCCCGCCCCCAGAACACGGCCAGGCCTCTCAAGCCCGCCCTGTAATGCACACCCCGTCTCCAGCACGCGGGGAGGCACCTGCCGGCACTTTAACATTTTCTCCAGGCAGCTCGCTTTATTCTTTGTTTGAAAGGTAGAGGGACAGAGGGCAATCTTGGATTTGTTGGTTCACTCCCCAAGTGTCCAGAACAGCCGGGGCTGGGCCAGGCTGAAGCCAGGAGCCAGAACTCTATGTGGCTCTCCTATGTGGGTGGCAGGAACCCAACCCCTGGGCCATCTTCTGCAGCCTCCCCCGCTGCACTAGGAAGCTGGATCAGGAGCAGAGGTGGGGCTCAATTCCGTGCACCCCAAGTCGTGTGAATTTTGAGGTTATACTCCACAATGGTGTTTCAATACTTCTCCCCCTTCTGTGTGAAGCTGGGGCCTTGAGCCGGGCCTCTGCTGGGAGGAGGCACTGGGGCTGGGAGGCAGCTGCACAGAGCAGCCCTGCTCCGCACTCTACTGGGCAGAGCTGACAAGGCCCTTCGCGCCTGCTGCCTGACGTTCACGCCTAACCTGGAAGGCGGAGGCTGACATGGCCATGGGAGGGACATGAAGCCCCCTCACTCCTGGAGACGAAGGGATGTGCCTGAGCGGGGGGCAGGTTTGATGGGACCTCCCCTCGCCACAAACTCCCACCGTAATGCCCCCAGCAGCCCCCGGGGCAGCACTCAAAGACCAAGCACTTCCCCAACACCGTGCAAGAAGTCCCAGACACAGCACAAGGTCTTGGCAAACGGGCTGAGCAGTGGCCCAGAGCCAGAAACCTGGCTTGGCCTGAGGCTGGCTGACCTGGGTAAGTTCTGGACTTCAGCTCCTTTGTCTGAACAATGACTGGGCCCCCGAGTGATTCCTATGCTTGCACATTAGTTTTTCCATTCCAGCACCCTAGGTGCTACCCCAGGCACTCACTGTGCCCCTTCTCTTTCATTTGAAAAAGAAAAAAAAAAAAAAAAGGTCTGGGGCCCACATTGAGCCTGGTGGTTTAGACATCAGTTAAGATATGCATGTCCTCTATCAGTCTCTGGGTTCAATGCCTGCCACTGGCTCCTGACTCCAGCTTCCTGCTAATGCAGCCCCTGGGAGGCACCAGTGATGGCTCACGTGACCTGGTCCTGGGAGATCTGGATTGAGTTCCAGACTCTTGGCTTTGGTCTGGTCCAGACCTGGCTGTTGTGGGCATTTAAGGAGTGAAGCAGCACTTGGGAGCCCTCTGTCTCTCTTAAGTAAAACAATAAATAAAACTACATATTAAAAAAACTAATATTTCCAATTTTTTAAAAATATAAAGTATAAAACAACATCCTGAGGCCCCAGTTTTTTAGACAAGGTCACTGTAGTGTCCACCACCCTCACTGTCCACTCACATTCCTGTGACACGTGCCGTGGTCCAGAGGAGCGCAGGGGTCCTGGGACTCAGGACTGGTAGGATGGCAAGGCCACCCTCCCCGGGCAAGCTCTACTAACCTGCTGTGGCCACACACAACCCTAGCGCCTCACTTGGCCATAGCCCCCGCCCTGGAGTCTCCTTTAAGGTGTCCGGTGTCTGCTGAGCTGCCCAGCGAAACAGCTGGCGGCAACAGCCCCCAGCCCCACTTCCATCACGGCTGCCATCCTGCTCTGTGGGGTGGAGGCAGCTGGAGGACAACTGCACAAGAGGTTTCTGGCCCACCTGGGGGACCCTGCAGGGACGATGTGGGCGGTGGGCCCACAGGTTTGGACACGGACAAGTCGCTGGGCCCTGGTTTCCTTACCCAGACCCACCTCTGAAGGCTGCAAGAATGAAAGTCAAGTACTTAGCACAATGCCTGGGACCCTGCATCACCCTCAGTGGCAGGATCCCGGGGGGCGGGGCCCGGGCTCCAGATATGTGTCGCATCCCAGCCTGTGGCGGAAACGTGAGCTGCCCAGCCTCAGGCTCCCCCAGGAGACCCCTCTGGCCAAACCACCCACAACTCTTGGCCTCAGTTTCTCTGTCTTTGAGATGGAAGGGAAAGGGTTCAAGCTGCTAACAAAGGGTGCCTGGAGCCCCCGGGAAGGTCTCCCGGGCAGGTAGGCCCCGAGGGGGTGAGCAAGGACAGGCTGAGCGCAGTGGGTGTGGGCCAAGGGACAGTTCCCTGTCGCGGGCTCTCCTCTCAGGCTGCACACAACCAAAGCCCACGGAAGGCTGGGTCAGAAGGCACCGAGGCCACCGCCCTGGCTGCCTCTCTCCAGAGCGACCAGGTACGCACTGGGGAGTTGATGCGGGGTGTGGGCAGGGGCGGGGCTGGACCGCAGTGTCGGGACAGACAGGGTTAGGGAGTCCCTCACACGTTGTGGCAAACAGTGCTCAGTTCTGCCTTCAGCTTGCTCACTGACTTCTCTTTGGAGAATCAAATTTTGCTATGAACCATAAACTAGGTGACCTATAATGACGATCTAATTTATGACTCTGACATCCTCATTTAGCTCTAGTGTTGCAGGAGGCCTGGGAGGGCTGGGGTCGCTCACTGCACCCAGGCCTGCGGCGGCAGGAAGAACTGCGAGCTGGGTCACCTTGGTGGGAGCAGCCGCCTTGGGGGTCGGCAGGGAGGGGCAGGGCGCCAGCTGGCAGGGCCTCAGGCTCCGGGTGACCGAGGGGCACGGGTGGCAGCAGAGGCCCAGCAGGGGCTCAGCTGGCACTGTTGATGGAAGTCCGGCCGCCCCCCAGCAGTCTCTCGTGCTCGCCCTCCTCGGCGGGGCGCCGGCCCCTGGACAGGCAGGCCAGCAGCGGGCGGTGCAGCCCGTTGTAGAGCGCCGTGCCTGTCAGCAGGATGAGGAAGCCGAGGATCTGCAGCGGGTGGAAGGCCTCCCAGCCCAGCGCCAGGCTCAGCGCCCAGATGACCACGGTGCGCAAGCTGTCCAGCACCATGCGGGTGGTGGCGCTCAGTTCCTTGGTGACGCTGATGCCCGCGAAGTTGAAGAAGGCGATGCTGCTGATGTTGCCCAGCAGTGCCAGGGCGATGAGCGGCTGCCGGCCCACCTGGCAGAAGGCGTCCAGGGCGTCCTCCAGCATCCCGCGAGGGTTCCCGCTGAACGAGCCGGCGGGGATGTAGTACATGGGCACCAGCAGCAGGGAGAGGATCAGGAAGCCAAAGAAGCCTGGGAGGGGCGAGGACGGCACCTTCTCCACCTGCCCGGCCTCCGCCCGCCCCGCCCCCACGGCCTCCTCCTCCGGGGTCCCGTGGCCCACCCTGGATCTGTCTCACCAGCAGCTTACTGGCTTACTAAATGGGCTCTGGCCACCCTTTCTCTACTTCAGCTCAGTGACATCTGACTGGACTGAGTCAGAAAGACTGTGTATGCTGTGATCCTGTGAACGCGTGCACGCCCCATTCTCAACGCCACCCTCACCACGGACCATGCTCTCTGATGTCTCTAAATCCGTCTAAAGGCTTTTTAAAAAAATGTTGGCTACAGCTCACTACCTCGCTCTCTCAAGTTTGGAAAAGCACAGCTCTCTAACTCAGAGTGTGAGTGGACTGAGCTGAGTAGCCTGCACCAGAATGGGAACTGAGGCACTACACAGAGTAAGAATGAGGCCGGCACCGTGGCGCAGTGGCTCAAACCAAACCTGCGGCGCCGGCATCCCACATGGGCGCCATTTCAAGTCCCGGCTGCTCCACTTCTGATCCAGCTCCCTGCTAATGCGCCTGGGAAAGCAGTGGAAGATGCCCAAGTGCTTGGACCCCTGTATCCACATGGGACCCCTGGAGGGGAGTCCTAGGCTCCTGGCTTTGGCCTGGCTCAGCCCTGGCCATTGCAGCCATTTGCAGAATGAACTAGGGGATAGATGATCTCTTTCTCTGTCTCTCCCTCTCCCTTTCAAGTAAATAAATCTTTAAAACAGCGAGTGGAGACGATGTGGTCTGTGGCGTCGTGGATTTGGCCAGTTTACGTCCTGCCGTCAGCTTTGCAGCTCCTGCAGACCCTGACAGCCCGCTCTGGCAGCACAGCTCCAATTCACCTCGATAATCTTGGTTTTTTTTTTTTTTTTTTTAAAGCATGATCTTGCTGTTGCTTCACTGTTCAAAAAGCTTCAGTGGTTGCTCCCAGGCTGTCACCTGCAGTCTAAATCCACCTGCCCAGTCAAGGTTCTCCGAGAGATGACCCCGACCTACTTAATTCCTGACTACTTAACTTCCTCAACATCAAACCTACCCTGCACTGCAGTTCCCCTCACTGGTTTCCAAGTTCACGTGCAGCTCTCCACGCCTTTGCTGTCTGCAGTCTCCTCCCCACCACTCCCGCTGTTTGAACGCCACCCTCCTGCTCTGAGACAGTCAGAACTCGGCCAGCAAGCCTCACTCCCGCACGCGCAGGCCAAGCTCAGATGCGTGGCCTGGCCCTGTCCTCTAGAGTGGGCGTGAGTCCCGCTCATCTCGTCCTTGGCTTCCCCTAGCTCCTGGCATGGCAGGGGTCAGATCTGTCAGCTTGGGTCTGGAGGAGGAGGAGTGGGGCTCACCCTCCCAGCGGTCCCGGCCCTCCTCCCAGGCCCCGGGCCCACGCACCCTCGGTGCCCACCGCCCGCAGTGGGTGCACGTTGTGCTTGTAGACAAACTTCTCCTCCAGCACCATCTGGATGGCAACGATGATCTGGGCCATGATGATCAGCAGGTCCCCTGCGGGAGAGGCGGGGCCTGGGGTGACGGCAGGGCCAGGGGCAGAACACAGGCCACGCCCGATTCCCCAGGTGGGAGGGACAGGCTGCCAGGACAGCACTGAGCTCCCGAAGGCCCAGAGCGGCAGCCTTTGAGGTGGAGATTTCTGGTGTCACCCTGCCTCCGGGTGGTTTCCAGTGGCCACTCCACTGTAACATGGGCCACACAGGCTGCCTTCGGGAAGGTTCCTATGATGATGCACACACAGTGCTCAGTACCCGCTTGGGCTCAGTGAGCGTCCACTCCTTTCCCCTCCCAGGCGAGCAGTGTGACAGCACAGATGTCCCAGGATAAGTCTGCCCCTCCTCTGACCCGTTCTTCCCGCACCCCCTCTCCTGCTGCTAGCCTCACTCCTCACCAGTCTCCCCTGCACTCTGTCCATGGCCCCGAGAGCAGGTGTGCGCCCTCGGCGGGGCCTGTGCCAGGGTGGGGGACGCGCCTGTGCCGGGCCCGCCCCCGCCGCACCTGTGATCACTTCGCTGAGTTTGTGCTGACTGTCATGCTTGCTCATCAGGTCGGCCAGGCCCACGACCACCAGCCCGGCGATGGTGGCCAGGATGCCCAGCCACTGGCTCGGTGCCAGCCTGCGGCCCAGAAAAGCCACGGAGAACAGGCCTGTGAATATGATCACTGCGCCCCGCAGCATCTGGAAGCTGGAGGCACTGGTCATGTTCAGGGCTAGGAGAGGAGAGACAAAGGCTGTTAGCTCCGAGGGCAGAGGCTGCCACTGCGGGGTCCCCAGGGCTGGACACAGGCCACGGTCAAGTGTGTGCGTGCGTGTGTGAGGTCCGGGAGCATGGCAGGTGGGGGCAGGGTGGGGTGGGGCAGCCCCTGTAGGCTTCGCTGAGCCCTTCTCGGCCTGGCCTGGCTACTCACCCACGTACATGAGGCTGGTCCCTGTCATGTCGCAGAGGGCTGGCGGCAGGAAAAGAAGTGGGTTGAAGGGCTGCTGGGCGTCCGGCCTGGAGTCTGGCTGCCTTGCGGCTCTGCACTGGAGCAGGTAGAAGGCAGCCAGGCAGGAGAACTCCCCCAGGAACATGCCCACGGCCTGCAGGGGCGAGAGCGCCGGCACTTCAGAGCTGGGCATCACCGGCGGAGTATTTTTAATACAACCGTTCTTCAAACTGGCCCAGAACCCCAACACATCAAACAACAGAAACACAGCTCCTGGGGGAGGCCCAAGGCTCTGTCCCAGCGCTCCCAAGGCTGCATGGAGTCCTGTCCCCAAACCACCCACCTAGGCCCACCACTAACGAAGCCCCCTAAGCCCTGCAGACTCGTGGGCAGCCGCATGGCATGCTGCTGTTAGAGCTGGGGCTCAAGTTTCTGGCTCCTCGTTCCCAGCCCAGCAACGGGCTGTCTTCATTTCCAGTCCGGGCCCGGGATGCCAAAGGGGAGGAGGCGCTTGTCTCTGATGTTTTCCACGTTGTCTGTTCTCGAACGTGGGGCGGCACGAAGGCTCGCCTGGACTCACGCAGGCCTGCCACAGGGGACCGTGCCCCCTCAGAGTCTGGCCCCTGTTCCGGGGAAGCAAGGGAGCTGACTCCAATGAGCACAGGAAACAGCCCGGCCTCCTGGGGGACACCTGGCCTGAGGCCTGGGAGGCAGGGGCGGGTGAGGGCAGAGGGCAGAGGGCTGAGGGCAGAGGGCAGATACCTGGAGGAAAGGGTGCTGGAAGCTGTGCTCCTGGCTCCCTCCGCAGCCCTCAGCTGTGAAATTGTCCGCCCACCTGCAGCAGAGAGAGGCAAGGTCAGCCCGGGCAGAGTGGCAGGGTTCTGTCTCCCTCCACGCAATGCCAAGAGGCTGGGGTGTGGGGGACTTGGCCGCAGCACGGGGCTCCCTCCCCTGGAATGCTCAGAAATCACAGATATTCTCATTATCGCGTTAGTCACTATGAGTATGAAGTATCGTTTATACTCATCAAAGGGACACGTCAGCACCACTATTTTAATGTCACATAGTAAGAAACGCACAGCACTGGGGCCGGCACTGCGGTGCAGCAGGTTAAGCTGCTGCTTGTGAGGCTGGAGTCCCTGCTGCTCTGCTTCCAATCCGGCTTCCTGCTACGGCGCCTGGGAAAGCAGCAGAAGATGCCACCCACGTGGAGACCTGGATGGAGTTCGTGGCTTCTGGGCCTGGCCCAGCCCTGGTGTGGCCCTTTGGGGAGTGAACTAGTAGATGGAAGCTCTCTCTCTGACTCCCCTCTAGCTCTGCCTTTCAAATAAATGATCTTTTTTTTTTTTTTAAGATTTATTTATTTACTTGAAAGGCAGAGTTATAGAGAGGCAGAGGCAGAGGCAGAGAGAGAGAGAGAGAGAGAGGTCTTCCCTCTGCTGGCTCACTCTCCAAATGGCCACCAACGGCTGGAGCTGAGCCAATCTGAAGCTAGGAGCCAGGAGCTTCTTCTGGGTCTCCCACTTGGGTGCAGGGGCCCAAGGACTTGGGCCATCTTCTACTGCTTTCCCAGGTCACAGCAGAGAGCTGGACTGGAAGAGGAGCAACCGAGACTAGAACCAGTGCCCATATGGGATGCCGGCACTGCAGGCAGCAGCTTTACCCGCTATGCCACAGCACCGGCCCCAATAAATAAATCTTTAATATTTATATCTCACATATGTGGGTATCACCAGTTTGCTTTTTTTATGTTTGCTGACTTCATGGCCATTGAATTGGCTTCCTTGATAATCTTTGCTTTTATTTGCACATTTTAAAACACTTAAAACACCATTCTGTCAAGGGCTCCAGGGCACAGAAGAGACCAAGTCTCTGCTCTGCAGGGGAACTTGGGCCCCAGGAAAAGACCACAGGACACAGACCATTCGATCACCCATATATAACCTTCACGGAGCTGCAAGGTCTTTCTAACGCTGACCCTTCAGCAGGTGGCAACTTCGCGGCACTGGTGGAGCAAACCCCCAGCCGGCACGGTGGCAGACGGTGAGAACTGACTGCCTCTCCCTCCCCACTGAGCACAGCCAGGAGTCCAGGATCCTTCACGGCGCAGCCTTCGGGCAGTGGCCACCAATCACTCTGAACTGCCCACCATCTGTGCACGAAAGCTCCCTCTCCCGAGTTTCATTTACGCTGGGCTTGGTCACCCCGGCGTCTCATCTTCCATCTGACAGCCCTGGACACATGCGCAAGCCTTCTGACCTTCTCGTGAATCTCCGAATCTCCCGGCTCGGCAGCCCCAGCCCTGCCTAACCCCGCCCCGGCTGCTGCCTTTTGGAAGCGTTCGGTGGGCCAGGCCCAGAGCCAAGCATGTCATCTGGCCCAGCGTGGGGCTGGCCAGATGGTGACCGCTCCCTTGTGCTGGCCATCTCGGGTGTTGACACATCTCCGAAAGCACCGGCACGTCACATGCCGAGCTGGTCAATGCAGGACCAGGGATGCTTTCAGAGAGCTGCCGACTTGCTTCTTCCGCAGCTCCCCACGGCGCGTGCCCGGAAGTGCAGCACTCGGGCCTCCTTGTTGTTAAATGTCTTCCCAGAGCAGCCAACACAGCCCTGCGCTCCTGGCTTAGCCGTGACCAGATCACGGGGCGTAGCCCTGCGCTCCTGGCTTACTCATAACCAGCCTGAGCTCCCAAAGGGCACAGGTGTCTTCTGGGCTGTGCCAGTGCCACCAAGCGTGGGCGGGATGGGATCAACACAGATTCTGACCTCTGTGTGCCCCTGAGTTGGGAGGGAAGCAGGAAACTTTCCTGCAGCCCAGGGCAAGGGCTTGACGTGGACCCTGGCAGTGGGCAGGGCCGGCCAGGTGGCAGTGGAGATCCCTGGCACTGACCTGGGACCACAAGGCTCATGGTTCTCGGGACTGGTGTGGTCAGAGGTGAGTGGACAGGAGAGCAGGAGTTCTGATACGACTGGTTAGAAGCTGAGTGTGAGTGAAGCCTGGAGCCCTCTCTGGTCCGACGCCAAGGGGGAAGAGAAACCTCTGCTCACGGAGGCCTCATTTCTGCCTGATGTGCTGTGGGCTGGCCCTGGGGTCCCTGGCAGGACAGGGCATGGGTAGTGGGTGGAGCCACAGAGCAGCCACAAGCTCACCCAGGAGGCTGGCTCTCTGGCCCTGGCTTGCTTCTGCAGATAGAGTGCCACAGGGCGGTCCCAGGAGGCCACTGAGCAAAGCAGAGAGGTGGGCAAGAGTGAAGAGGTCTACCCAGGGCACGGAGAAGGTTGCCCCACAGCAGGTGCGCAGGTCAGAGGTGGGAACTGCCAGTGCTGGGGCAGTGACAAGACGGGGGCCAGGCCATGAGGCCTCCAGCAAGGACTTTTTGAAAAGGGTGTGTGTGGCAAGTGTGGAAGCCACTTCCTCATCCTGGTGCCATGCCCAGACCACAGATGCAGCTCCGGAAGCCCCTCCAGAGTCCACACCCCAACTCACCCAGGGTCCAACCTGCACAACTCAGAGTAAGGACAACTCAGGCCTGAGGCCGAGAGGGAGCACAGCGTTCAGCCCCTCCCGGCCCCAGCTCCTGGCACATGGCTACACAGCGGCTCTGGGATTTTCCACTGAACGAATGGGACTTCAGACCCCATCAGCAAACAGCGCAGGGATTGCCGTCCAGAGGCACTGTCCCCACGGGGGCGGGAGGCAGCCCCGGCCGTGGAACAGGCTGGAGCCTGCCCTTCCCTGGGGGGTAGGGGCACCCCATGGGAGTTGAGCGCCCCACCCTTCCCAAGGACTGGCTTTGCTTTCTCCAGGAGGCAGGTCTGCCTGGACAGGCCCGGCTGGCAGGGTTCCCACCGGGGAAATGGAATCGTTTTGTATCCCAGAGTCTGGGGCAGGCTCGCAGCACGAGGGATTGGATGTCCCCAGCACAGGCTGCCCCGCCGCTCAGCTCTGCAGGTGCCGTGGGCGGGAGGAAGCCAGGCTTCTCCTCCTGGCCCACTGGTGGGGCTCAGAGGGACCCCAAGCCTCACAGCCAGGAGCCAAAATCCAGCCCCAGTGGAGCTGGGGATGACAGCCACGGCCCCTAGGGTGGGACAGCCTTGTTTTCCACTGCACAATTCACTGTGCACTGTCTTTGTGTCCCGCTGAAGCGTCACAATGAAGACCCACATTTTACATGGGGACCCCAGAGCTCCACGCAGCAGAGGGGCCATTCATGCTCTTACAGCGGAAGTGCGAAAGTCTTGGGTCACCCAGGCCAGGCTGCCACAGGTGATCCTGCCGACACTGATGACTCGTCAGAAGACGAGAGTGGTGTGAGCTGACTCACAGCAGTGTGTGACACAAGTCCCCTCTGTCCCTTCTCCCTCCATCCCCTCACTGGGCAGGACCATCTCCCCTCGTGTTGGGTGAGGGTGCGCCCAGCTCTGCTCCAGACCCATTCTCTGCAGCCTGGTGCTGGCTGAGGCAGAGGCAGAGGCGGCGGCCGGAGGGGCCTTGGGCTACCGGCCCCTCCAACACGGAGAGTCCTTACTGAGAGAGGCGCCCGAGGCACACAGGGCACATCAGACCCCGAGGCGGGGCTGGCAGCCAGGAACCGCATCGTCAGGTCCCCGCCCCGGCCCTAACACTCCTAACTCTCCTGTGACCTCCTTATCCAGACCTCCCGCTCCCTGGCTGTGGACACCTGTTCTGGGGGACAGCCCCGGGCCCCGAGGCAGGAGGCCTATGGTACCCTGGCAGGGCCAGGATGAGGCCCCGGGAGGAAGCACCCTGGCAGGCACAGGCCAGCTCACTTCAGTTTCCGGAGCCCCGGCAGCCCGTGCTGGGTGGTGAGTCACTCCCGGGCCCTGCCCTGTCCAAACTCCAAGCTCAGCATTTTGGGTGGTCAGGGCTGACAGACAGAGCTGAGGAAGTGGCCGCTGCGGCTGGCCCAGGCCCGCTTGCCGTGTGTCCATCCCCACTGAAGCTCTGCCGTTTGCCCCGTACTCCCAGCTTGGCAAGCCCCATGAGCCAGCTTCTTTTCCCACTGTGGCGGCCACAGAAGGGCTGGGATTTCTCCTCTCTCTGGTTTACGAGAGGATACGCCTTGTCTCCATGGAAGAAAAAATCTCTCCAGTAGATATTTCTGTGTCTGGGAAGAAGATGAGGCAGGGATTTATCACGCCCATTTTACAGTTGGGGAAACCGAGGCCTTCTGGCCTCATAAGCCATCGAATCCCACTGCTTGCAAGCCTCAAGCTCTTTCCATCGTGTTATACTGCCCTCCGTCAGGCTTCCTCAAGCTGGCACAGCCACCCTGTGAGGCAATTCTCCCACGGGTGGGGAGCTGCCAAGGGCAACAGTTAGCATGAGGGGGTGGGGAGAGCCTGGCGGAGGCCCCGTGGTCCTGGGAAGCCAGTCCCCAGCACCCTCTTGGCTGCGTGGGCGCTACGGTCTGCAGCAGCTCAGGAGGGGCCGAGCCTCACTCAGTGCCTACTCGACCCTGCTTCTTCAGATGCAGAACCTCGGCACCACCCCTGCACGCACGGCTCAGGCGGACAGACGTGGTAGGGTCCCAAGCAGATGATCCGGGGGAGAGAAAGCCATGGAAAGGAGAAGCAAGCCCTCGCAGGCAGGGCCCTGCCGAGACGCAGGGCTGCGGTCAAGGGGCCAGCCTGACTGGTGGCTTTTCCTTCCCCAGGCACGTGAGCTCCGCCCCCGCACCAGCGAATGGGAGGGTGTCTCTCCTGAAACCTGCTGAGCGCGCAGAGCAGAGCGGACCAGCAGAAGCACGCGGCCCCGCGCACTTCCTCGCCGGCGGCCCGAGTCCTCCTGAGAACCAGGTCGGGGCAGCACTGCTGCTCCTTTTGCAGGAGGCCATGGCAGGCTCTCAGCCCCAGGGGACAGACACGCAGGGTGTGCAGGGAGACAGCCTGCCCAGTTCAGGAAGTGCATCCTGCGGGCTGGCCGGAGACGCTACTTTACTTGCAGGATTACAGCTGCCATGGACATGGGTTTGTGTGTTCTTGTCTGGGAGGAAGTAAGAAGAAATCCCTAAGGAGGAAGATTCTGGGGCACGATAGTGCTGAACGAACAGGACCAGTTCCGTGGCTTGGGTTCTAGCTCCCGCCCAGTTAAGCCACAAAGAAGACATTTGTCTTGGGGCCTGCTGTGTAACTGGTGGCAATCAGATGGGGTGATTTCTGTTGCTAACATTCTAAATGTCCCCCCCCCCCCCATAACTGGAAGGGTCAGCGCTGTGGCACAGCAGGTTAACACCTCGGCCTGAACCGCCGGCATCCCATATGGGTGTCGGTTCATGTCCTGGCTGCTCCTCGTCCGATCCAGCTCTCTGCTATGGCCTGGGAGAGCAGTAGAAGGTGACCCAAGTCCTTGGGCCCCTGCACCAGCGTGGGAGACCTGGAAGAAGCTCCTGGCTCCTGGCTTTGGATCAGTTCTGGCCATTGTGGCCAACTGGGGAGGGAACCAGCGGATGGAAGACCTCTCTGGCTGCCTCTCCTCTCTCTGTGTAACGCTGACTTTCAAATAAATAAATAAATCTTAAAAAAAAAAAAAAAAGCCTGGAGAAGCTCCCAGCCTCCCCCGCCAGTGGTGGTTGTCAATATGGACCCTGGCGCCAGGCCACTTTGGCCAAACTCTGAACTCTGCCACCTCGCAGCTGATCTGAGCTCAGGCAAGTCATTCCATTGTTCCAAACCTCGGTCTCCTCGTTGAGGGATGATGAGTTTATCCGCCTCGTGGGGTGGCTGTGAGAATTCACTGAGTCACACACGAGGCTGGCACGGGGCAGGCTCGCTGGTGGTAAACGGACTGCTGGGCGCGGGCCTGCCTGTCCGTCCCTGACCACTGCAGGCCAGAAACACCGTCTCACGCTGCTAACCCCACCAGGGAGGACACCGCTGCTCCCCAGGTCCTTCCCCTCCGAGAGCACCGCAGGCTTTGGCCCTAGCACACGGAGTAGAGTCCAGGGCTGGGGCCAGTCTCGGGTCAAAGGCCCCACACCAGGTGACAGGGCAGGGCAGAGGGATCAAAGGTTGCAGGTCTCCCACCCAGCGGCCGCCTCCCTGACTCCTAGGCGGCTTCTGAGGCCTTTAGGGACTGATGACCTCCTGGCGTCCTACCCGACCGGTTTGGAGCCCTTCAAAGAAAGGCGCTGAGTCAGCACAGTGCGCCCTAGCAGGAGGTGGCCGCCTGGACCCTCCTTGGGGACAGCAGCCCTAGCAGACTTACAGTCTAGAGGCACTTGATCGAGCCACAGCTGCTACAACAGACGGATGAGGACTTGTTCTGCTGCGTTCAGAGCCTAACCAGGAAGGGAGCCCTGAGCCTGGGCCTCCTTTGTCGCTAAGAACTTGACACAGGAAGTGACCTCTGGGAGGCCACAGGGCCCAGGAGGCCACCAGCTCTCCACAAGGCACAGCCAACAGGTGGGGCTCATGTAGAGCCCCCTGCTAGGGGAACGGAGGACCCTGTGACAGCCAGCTGTGTGCACATCTGTCTCCCGCACTCAGGTTCTGCACATCTCTAAGGCAGGGGCCGTCTCGTGGTTACCCCATCTCGGAAGCCACCATACACAGGTTGGGTGAACTGAACGGAATACCTCTCTCCTGTGGCACACCACGGGGGGGACGTACCGGCCACGCACACCAAGTGAGAAACGGCACCTGCCCTCAGAGCGCTGGCAGTCAGTCTCTCAAAGAGCGATGTGTGACAGAACTGGAGGGCACCAGCGGCGCAGCCCAGAGCGAGGGGAAGCTTCTGCTGGGGACCACCACACCACTCCCTCCTGCTCTGGACCTGCCGAGGCCCAGGCGAAGTGAGGCCTGACCAGCAAGCAGAGAGCTGCTGTCCGCCTCTCCACGTGCACCGCGGAACTGGCCCAGAGAAAGGCCAGCTCCGGGCTCTGCGGCTTGTGGGTGGCGAAGAGAAGGCAGAGGCAGGTGAGGGCAGCGGAAGGGGCAGAGAGTGGTCAGGAGCAGGTGCCGCCTGCCTGCCCGCCCACGACACGCAGGAGGCGACGCTTGCTCCCTCATCCCCAGCCTCTGCGAGACTGTCCTCCTGTCTCGCCTCTGCACATCACAGCTGAACTGCCTCCCCGTCCTGTCTCAACCACACTTCCCTTCTCCCAGGCAGGAAGCCCAATCCCGCAGGTCAGGCCTGGCAGCTTCCTCCCGCACCTGGTCTCTCCCACTCCTCCCTTCCACCCGCCCCAATCTGCTGGGCTCCACGACCATGCGGTGGTCCCAAGGACCTTTCACACTCACCGCCAGGCGCATCGCAACACTTTTCACGGGTCACTCCCCAAAACCCCTTTCCCACAGGGGAATCCATCCAGCCCGGACACACGGCGCTGCTTACGGGCTGACTTCCAATCTGGCCCTTGGTTTCCTGCCTCCAAGTCTGGCTTGCATCTAGATATACCACCCCAGCTTCAAGGCGCCCTCTTCCCCGAGGGACCCCCCTGGGGGACACCCTTGGTGCTGCCACTGTGGCTGGTGGGCTCCAGTCTGGCTCTCGGTTCTGAAAGGGCTGGACCCGGGCTGGGACTGCAGCCCTTGAAGGGCCGCCCGTGGGCGCTGATCCAACCCTCCCGTTTAAAGATTGGAAACGGAGGCGCGGAGACCGGGAGAGACGGCGGATCGCGGCCGGGGCTCGGATCCCCCCAGCGTGGGGCGCGGTCCCGTCCACAATTCCTCCGGCTTCCCCTTGGGTGGCCCCTAAACAGCGCGAACCGCCCGGGCCTATTGGGAGAGCCGGCGGGGAGCGCGCGGGGGTCGCAGCGTCCGCTCCGGGCCGGGCCGGGCCGGGCCCACACTCACTTGGCCGAGAGCGTGTTGATGGAGCCGGTGACGAGCATGAGCCCCGCCAGGAACAGCTGGTACTTGGTCCAGGCCATGGCGGCGGACGCGAGGGTCCGCTCCCGTCAGCAGCCTTGGCCCGGGTCACCCGAGGGGTCTCCTGCTTGAGCGCTTCCGGGCCGGGAGTCATGTGACCCTCTTGGTCCCGCCCCGCGCCTGCTCACCCCGGGAGCGCGCTTGAACCGCGGCGTGCGCGCTCCCCGGGAGAGGCTGCGAGGCGCAGGTGCGGGGAGGGTTGAGACGGAGGATCACGCCCGCGGTCCCCTTTCGCATAGGGGCTGTCGGGGCGACGCGGTGAGGGTGCCTCGCGGATTCTGGAGCCGTGTGTACCCCGAGCCGCAAGGGGGAAGTTCGGGGTCCCCTCTCCGCAGGGCTCCCAGGGAACTCCGGGAGGCCTGGGGGTGTCCCCCGGGGCCCCAGCCCAACGAATGGCTCCCGTTTTCCTGCAGAATGGCGCGGGAATCTAGTGCCAGCAGCCGGGCGGGGGGCATCTGAGAGCCGAGCCGACTAAGCGGAGCGACACGGAGGCCGGCGGTGGGCGGAGGCGGGGGCCCGCGCCGACGGAGCTCCCACCTTGTGCGTGGCCAGCCGTCCCCAGCCTCGTGGCTCCGGAGTCAGCCAGGCAGAAATACCCTCCCTGGGTTTGTTTGCTGAGGATTTCCGGCCATTAACATCCCAGTCCCACTCTCAGCCGCCAGCTGCCGCCTTGCGCTAAGGCAGGGCTCCAGGCTGCATCCCAGTGCCCCGGCTGGCACGGAGTGCACAGTTGTCCCCTTAACGTGTGCCGCCTTGTGGGAACTGCGGAACGAGGCGGGCCCGGGACAGCCTCATCCCCGCAGAAACGGCTAATGTAGACTCACGCGGCAGACAGGGAAGGGGAGGAGGAAGTGGCTGTGCACTGGCACAGAGGCATGGGTGAGTGTGAGTGCGGGATCTGCACATCATTCTGGAACATTCCTTCACTTGAGTGCTGGGGAGCTAGGAGACCCACAGGAGGTTACTTCTTGTTCCCTGCAATACCTCTAGTTCTGTGGGATTTAAAAGGAATTGGGGGCTGTGGTGGCACTGGCTAAGAAGTACTGGGGACACCCACACCCCACCTGGGAGTGCCTGATATGAGTCCCAGCTATTCTGCTCCTGACCCAGTTTCCTGCCGATGGGCACCTTGGGAAGCAAGTACCTGGGTCTTTGCCACGCATGGGGAGACCTGGATTGAGTTCCAGGCTCCTGGCTTTGACCTGGCCCAGCTCCACCTGTTGTGGGCATTTGGGGAGTGAACCAAGGGGCAGAAGATCTCTCTCTCTCTCTCTCTCTCTCTCTCTCTCTCTCTGTGTGTGTTTTTTCAACTAAAATATAAATAAGCAGATAAAAATGTAAACAAATAAGGAGCGAAAGGAAAGCATCCATTTACCAAAAGTGAGACACTGGAGCCCAGGGGGACTGGCTGGGGCCGCCCCACTCCCAGGAGGCAGTTCCGAGGGGCAGTGACTCACTGGACGGGGCTCAGGCCAAGGGCACTCCCTGGAGTAAACATGACTCATGGCCATTGGTGTCACCAGCCCGACATGATGTCACTAGAGGCACAGCTACGGCCACATCAAGCAGCGAATTCTGAGTCTCTCTGCCTGTTCATCACATGACTGTCTCTGGAACCCGAGACGGGAGGATTTATTGGCAAATACACATGGAGCCAACTAAGTGTGGGGCTCCCGGAAGACAAGCAAGGCAAGGTTGCTGCCCCCAAGGTGTTCCAGGTTCAGCAGAGGAGGGGTGAGCACAGTGTTCCCCACGTGGGGACGCGAGAGCGTGTAAGAGGCAGGGGCCTGGGGTCGGCGTGGATGGGCAGTGACAGGGACCATCCGAACTGTCCTGAATCGGATCCCCCTGGGTCAGGCCCGTGCCACGAGCTTGCCCACTGTGGGCTTAGTTTCCACAGCAGCCTTGCGATGCTGGAATTCAGGCTCTGTGCAGGGACTTGGAAGAAGAGCAGGATTGTTCCAGATGGAGAAGGAGGGATTTCCTGGGCAGAGACTACCCCGCGGCCACCACGGGGCTGGCCAGGGAGTGACCGCGGGGAGCTCCAGGTCCCTCATCCAGCCAGAGTGGACTGGACAGGTGAAAACTGGGGCGGACATCAGAGTCCATGGGAACAGGAGCCAGGGTGAGGCCCAAGTCCACAGCAGACGGGCATTCCGAGGAAAATAGGAATTTTTTTTTAAAGATTTATTTATCCATTTGAAAGTCAGAGTTACACAGAGAGAGGAGAGGCAGAGAGAGAGAGAGGTCCTCCATTCGATGGGTCACTCCCCAATTGGCCACAATGGCTGGAGCTGCCCCGGAAAATAGGAATTGAGATAGGTATGCTCATGCCGAGGACTTGCAAAATCCATCAGGTGTTTGGTGAAATTCAGGGATGGAGCTCAATGACACAAATTCGCTTCAAAATTTTGAAAGCCTGGATTTCCTGGCAAAATACTCTGCAAATCAGGATGAATGTTGTCAATACCTGACCTGGATCTGTACCTCTTAAAATTTCATATCCTGGGCCAGCGCTGCGGCTCAATGGGCTAATCCTTTGCCTTCGGCGCTGGCACACCGGGTTCTAGTCCTGGTTGGGGCGCCGGATTCTTTCCCCATTGCCCCTCTTCCAGGCCAGCTCTCTGCTGTGGCCAGGGAGTGCAGTGGAGGATGGCCCAAGTGCTTGTGCCCTGCACCCATGGGAGACCAGGAGAAGCACCTGGCCCCTGGCTTTGGATCAGCGCGGTGCGCCGGCGGCAGCGGCCATTGGGGGGTTAACCAACGGCAAAGGAAGACCTTTCTCTCTCTCTCACTGTCCACTCTGCCTGTAAAAAAATAAAATAAAATAAATAAAATTCCATATCCTGAGCATTGCTCCCCCCCACCCCCTACACCCTACCTTGGAAGTCAGAACTTGGGCGGCTGGGACACTGGAGACAGGGGATGGTGTGAGGTGGGGCGGGCCCTCCTCCCTCCTTTTCGGAGCCTTTAGGAAGTAGAAGGTGGGTCAGCCTCCTGCAGGTGGGGGTCTCAGGCTTCAGGGTAGCAGTGTTCTCCCAACTGCTTGGATTTGACTAACTCAAGTGGATTCAAGGCAACAGCTTATGTGAGAATGTGACTTGCACAGGGGAGCAAGTGTAGCCCGTTTGCAGCAAAGCACCTGGCTCGGGATCCGGTCCTCCGGGGGCTAGGGTGTGGGAAGAGATAGGAATTTCTTCCTGTTCCCGTTAAAAGACAAGATCGCAAACAACTCAGTTATAGATCAAATTGGATTTTATTCCTGATTCGTGAACGGGGCAGCATGCATTGTACAAGAGAATGAGAGCTCCCACTGGGCTGTGGCAGGACCGCGGGCTCTGTGAACTGCAGACAAGGAAACAGAACAATCGAGCAACAACTAATGGCTGACTTGGGGTTACTGTTTTGCAAGGGTTAAAGCAGAAGTGACTTCCTTGCTATGCTGACTTAGATAGGTTGGACTTTCCTGTTTTCAGGAAAAACTGTAATCTTTTGGGATCTGTTTCCATAAAGCTTCTGTTTGATTATGTGACATTTAGCATAGTGACCCCATTTTGGTGTGGTCTGGATGGATGGCGGCTCCACCAGCCCCGAGGTGGCCGTGGGGTTGTCTCTGCCCAGAACGTCCCTCCTTCTCCATCTGATGGGACCAGTGCAGGAGCTCACAACAGTAGCCTCTCATGACTTCTGGTTAACAACCCCCGAGAGTGCAGAATCTTCTAGCAAGAAATGAGGCTTGTGCAGCTTGTCCCTGAGTAGGGAAGGGGAGAGGGGCCTTGGGCTGGATCTGCCACTTAGAGCTAAGTGACTTGGGTTTGTTCAGTTAATCACCTACAGCCCCACTTTCCTATCTGTAAAATGGGAACAATAGTAATCACTTGTTGTGAGAGAGGACAGAGGTACAAGGGCAGTGCAGGTCCCCTGGGGGCAATTAGTACAGCTGCGATGGGGTCAAGGCCTGTCCAGTAGGAGGTGCTGAGAAAGACCTCAGGTGTGCGGTAAAAGCAGTTCTTGGGGCCAGTGTTGTGGCGCAAAGGGTTAAGCCCCCATCTGCGACAGCAGCATCCTGTATGAACACTGGTTTAAGTCCTCATTGCTCTGCTTTTCATCCAATTTCCTGCTAATGCGCCTGGGAAAGCAGAAGCAGAGGGCCCCTGGCACCCAAGTGGGAGACCCCAGATGGAGTTCCAGGCTCCTGGCTTCCACCTGCCCTGCCCTGGCTATCGTGGCCATTTGGGGAGTGAACCAATAGATGGATGGTCTGTCTCTCTCTGTCTTTCAAATAAATAAATACATCTTTTCTCATGATTCGCTAAGAGCTTGAGCCTGTCTTTGGGTCTTTTCTCCCAAAGCCTGGGACACTTTGAACAAGTTTGTCTGCTCCCTTCAAAGAGTCTCCAATTTTCAGCACCAGATAAAATGCTCAATGCAAACCCTGCATCTGTATTCAAAGCTTCCTGTCCGCCTGTGGTTTGTCTGAAAGATTGAACATGTTCCCAATCAATTTAATCACATTCTGGATTCGGAAAGAATTACTTTATCCGGGGAAGGACAGAGATACGTGAGCAGACAAGCTTGGTCAGACTTCATTTTGTTGTTTTAAAAAAAACAAGTTTTGCTGTGTATCCTTGGGCCATTTCCTTCCTGTGTGACCTGTTCCCCAGCTGGAACGTGACCTCCTGCCGGGCAAGGCCCGAGTGTCCTCAGCAGGGCCAAGGGCAGCTGTCTGAGGCTTTCACTGCAGAGAGCAAGCCGCTAGGGAGGATGACCGGGCTAGGCGCAGGCTGTCTCACGGGGCAATAAACTGAGACTTAGAGGCCAGGGTGACTAGGGTAGCTTGTGGGGGCAGGGAGTGTGGACCGTCCATACCACAGGCGGGCAGCAGGCAGCGGAACACACCAGCTCCAGCTGGCTGACTCCGCAGCTGGTCTCCATGGCAACCAGAGATGATTAGATTAGGAGTCACCTGCTTCCAGCTTCAAGTCCTCATAAGGTCATGGTCCAACCTTCTGTTTCTCCTCTTCTCCTTTGTGATCGTCTCTAGACCAGCACTGGTCCTTAGCCTTGGGACAGGTCTTTGGGACCTGGAAAATGGTGTCTGGCTTGGTCC